TGCACACCCAGGCAGGAGGCCCTTCGCTCTCCCGCAGCCTCTAGGCTGACCTCCGATGGCCCCGGGTCTGACATTTCAGGGTCTTGTTTCTAACCACACAAGCGGCCTCCTGGTAGCTGCCTCCTACCGGCTCTGGGCTCCACCGTCTTGTTGGCCCCCTCCTCCATGAACACGAACCGCCCGCCGCCGAAGTCCTCCAGGTAGTCGGAGAGGTACAGCAGTGAGGTGTAGTCGAAGGAGCCGTAGGTCACCTGCGGGGCAAAGCCGGGAGGGCCTGGTCAGGGAAGGAGGAACGAGGGCCGGGCGCGGTGGCTCATGCTCTAATCCAGCACTCTGGGAGGGCCGAGGCGGGGGATTGTCGAGGTCAGGAGTTCAAAACCAGCCTGAGCAAGAGCGAGACCCCGTCTCTACTATAAATAGAAAGAAATTAACTGGCCAACTAATTATATAGAAAATATATTAGCTCCTTCCTTTACGGACTTTCCCTCCTCAGCTGCGTCCACCAGATCCCAAATGCCCCTAACGCCTTGGGCAGGAAGGCGTCCGAACACTAAACACGCAGGCACTGCGGACAGAGGCCTGCAAACCCGAGGAGCCCCGCAGCCGCGGGAGAACTCGAGAGGCGTGGCCTCGCCGGGGGTGGCCTGATGCCGTGCTCACCTTGTCCACGTGGGCGTGCCAGTACTCGTCGTGCGCGGTCCGTGCGGCCGTGCTGTTGATGCGGGAGAAGAAGGTGGGCTTGGTCAGGTGCAGGGAGGACGGGCGGAGGCCGAAGGCCTCGGCGATCGTGAGCTGCACCTTCTGCCGTATCTCCCTGCAGAGCACACGCGTGTCACCGGGGCGCGTCACCGGGAGCAGCAGGTCCCCAGAGGGGAGGCCGGAACTCTCCGAGGGTCCCCGAGCACCCGCTGACTGTCACAGGCCAGGGGAGGGCGGGAAGATGGATGGGCAGCACACGGCACACACGTGAGGGGGTGTCACGCGTGGCCACGACCCTGACGCCCCGGGAACGGTCGGGGCACCCCGGACAGCGCAGCGCCCTGCGGGAAGGACAGCGCAGGTGACGGGGCACGCTGGGCAGGTAAGGAAGGGCGGTGCCAGGGCACTCCACTGTGCATGCCGCTGTGGGGAACCGGCCCCAGACGCCCCAGGCCCAAGGCTGCAAGGGCTCAGCTCGGAGCCCCTGGTTGGCAAGAAAGGGGGTGTTGCCACACGGCGTGGGGTGCAAGGTGTGGGGGGTGCGGGGAGAGGGCAGGTGACGGGAGTGGGCATGGGTGGGGTGCGTGGGGTGCATGGAGTGTGTACGGGATGCAGGTGGGGTACATGGGGTGCAGATGGCTGTGTGGGGTGCAGGTGGGGTACATGGGGTGTAGGTGGGGTACATGGGGTATGGATGCAGTACAGGTGGGGTACATGAGGTACGTGGGGTGCATGGGTGTGGGTGGGGTACAGGTGGGGTGCATGGGTGTGGATGTGGTGCAGGTGGGGTGCAGGTAGGATGTATGGGTGTAGGTGGGATGCAGGTGGGGTGTGTGGGGTGCAGGTGGGGTGCATGGGTGTGGGTGGGGTGTAGGTGGGGTGCAGGTGGGATACATGGGTGTGGGTATGGTGCAGGTGGGGTGCGTGGGGTGCAAGTAGGATTATGGGTGTAGGTGGGATGCGTGGGGTGTGTGGGGTGCAGGTGTTGTGCATGGGGTACATGGGTACAGGGGATCTCCCTGCAGAGCACAAGCGTGCACCGGGGCGCGTCACCGGGAGCAGCAGGTCCGCCAGAGGAAGGCCGGAAATCTCCGAGGGGTCCCGAGCCGAACATCTCCGCTGTACCTGTCACAGGCCAGGGGAGGCGCCGGGAAGTGGATTTGGCTAGCTTACACGCAACACACGTGAGGGGTGTCATCGCGCGGCCACGACCCTGACGCCCGGAACGTCGGGCACCCCGGGACAGCGCAGCGCCTGCGGTGAAGTGGACGAGCGCAGGTGGGTGCCACGTGG